ACATTCATTAAAAAAAAAATTTTTTAAATGGCCTCTGGTCTCCTTTTTCACGTACTGCCAAAGCGGAAGTGTTAGCATTAGCCGTTTCACTTTTTTGGCTAAAGGTTGCAGGCTTGCCTTCTAGTGGCTTTGGCAGGGTCTGCAATGCAACCTCTATGTGTTCTGGGAGGGCTAGCACTAACATGCTTTCGTCATCATACGTAACCTTAACTTGTGCAGTGATTGGTGGGAACAAACATACCTCTATTAACTATCTTTAAGCTGAAGTCATCTGTTTGGCCTGAATAAAGCAAACCAGTATCTTACCAGTAAAGTTTTGATGGATGACGATTGTAATGGAGGTAAAGATGATTACAGTGACATACAGGAGTTGTACATTATTAGACACTCGCGGGTTCATTATAATTAGTGTGCAAATAAACAGACTGTGCATGTGCACTCTGATAGTTTTTTTTTCCTTCAAATTACCACATTTGGCAAATTCTGAATGTTTTTATTTGCTTTATTAAATTGTTTTGCTCTGTTTAATAATTCTGAATGGATCCATGTATATACAATGAGGTTAAGGTGACTGGTATAGTGGTCTGTTGGCATCTCTGTGTGGTCCTGTTTGGTATTGCAGCTTGACTTGTAGTTATAGAGAATGCTCTAAACAAATTAGACATTTAGGTTTTCCTTACAGTTTTTGCTGTTGCATTGTATACATACATTGTAAATAAAAAAAATGTATTAATTTCGGACTCGTAATCCAAGGTTGCGGGTTCGAGTCCCATATCGGCAGGGATTGTAGGTGGGGGGAGTGAATGTACAGCACTCTCAATACCACGACTGAGGTGCCCTTGAGCAAGGCACCGAACCCCCAACTGCTTCCCGGGCGCTGCAGCAATGTGTTCACGGTATAAATGCAGGGCACTAATTTCGAGTATGGGTCATCATACTTGGCCACATGTCACGTCACGTTCACTTTCATGACATCTTATGAGTTTATCATAACCCACTTGGTTGAGGCGCCCACTCTAAACCGAGCTCATCAACCACCTTGGACAGGATGCGTAGGAGCTCAACAGGTCCTCTGTGTCGCTGCTGTGAAGCGCAGTGTAATTCAGCAGGCTTTAGGCCACAGATGCTGCCACCGAAATGGCATCATCCTCAGAGCCCTCCATAGCACCGAAGGACACCACATCTTGTGTGTCAGGAGAGGGGCGGAGATCACCGGTCATGAAGCGCACTGGAAGGAGGGGACCTGTCGCAGGGGGGTAACGAGCACGTGGACACTGAGCCGGCACTTTCCTCCTTGGCTCGAAAGAGGCTGCAGAGGAAAAGCACAGTAGGGCTAGTTGGGTGAGTTCATTGCATTGGATGATGGCCACATGGAGCCTGAGAGTCCGGAGGCTCATATCTCCACAGTGTCAGTGGAGATATGACGCCAAGCGCCGCCTCTGCGTGGACGCGACCTAGGCAGGAGACACACGACTCGTGGCCAACAGAAGGTTCGATTGGCTCTGCACAGGAGAGGCAATCGCGAGAGGTCATCAATGTCCGAAGCTCACCGGAACACAGCAGGGGAAGAGAAGGCGTTGTACACTGCAGCGTGTAGATCACAATGAGTACTCTTTGATGATAGGCTTCTTGCTTCTTGTAGAAGGTTGGCTGAAGGAAAAGATTCTGAATGGATGACGTACAAGCGTTGCCTTATATAGAGAGGGGAACCCTTCATATTTTGTACACTTGAATGCCATTGGCCAGTGTTACTGGCGTGATTCAATAAGGCTTCAGTAATATTTAGAGAAAGGGTTTTCCCCATAAGCATTACCAAATGCAATGTCAAAGTGAACGAATCGAAAGGGAACTAAGTTTTAAGTAGTAAAGAGGATGATAACGCTCACTTGCGCTCCACACTGCAGTTTGAACAGAGGCGTTTATACAGCGATCTGTCACACCACATCAAAGAACTTTAAAACGGCATTTATTATTTGAATAAAAAATAGACATATTTTGAAAGATCTAAAGTAACAATATATAAAACTGGAAGTTTTCAGTGAGGTTCCACTCGTGCAGTGGTTAAAACAATGCTGTATTTGTTCGGTACACATGTCTACCGAACCGAAAGGCCCTGTACTGAAAATTTTTCGTAAAAATATGTGTACCGTTAGACCCTGACAGCAACTCACACAAATCGTGTTCCACATAGGAGAATAACCATGCAATTGAGTTCAATAGTAGCATGATAAGCATTAAGGTCAAAGCATACTTAAGTTTTCACGACAACACAATAGCATATAGGCCTACAGTCTATTCCATTTGACAGCGTGCGCACAGGCGGACAGCACATGTGCTCTAGAAAGCTAACCAACATCTGCTCTATGTCTCTCCAGAAGTTATGAGTCATGACCGATAAAGAAAAAAAAATAGAATAAAAAAAATGTTCATTCACTCATTGAAACTAGTTATGACCGATAAAAATGTCAATATACTAGTTCAATTTAAATGTTGATTTACTCAAATAGTTTGTTGTTGTTTCATCACCTCCATTTTTTTTAACTGTGAAACATCGGGCCAGTGTTGCCACCTTTGTGGACATACTGATTAGAACAAAAAATTAAATGAGCATGTGCGATAAATTTCACGGTTAATTCAGTGTTACTTGCAGTTTCTTTGTAACTATTTGTGAAATTTGCATTAGTACAAGTGAACACTGTTTCAAAGTAAATCCATGATGCCTTAAAATGCTACTTCTTTAGGGAGTTCACGGAATTTTTAATTTTTCTCAGCTTTATCAGTACTATAAGTAGTAGTTGCATAACTTTTTCACTGATATAATTTAGCTTGTTCCCAAAAAATAGGCTCACCGTTCCGCACCATTTGAGCAAAATGGAGCAATTCGATTAAATCCAGAGAGACAACACTATATGAGATTAATGAGGGAAGTTGGACAATTAATGGAAATCTCGCCAGCAATCAGGGCCATTGTGAGAAACCACAGCCATCGTTTAGCACCTGTCAAAACACATAAAGCCAAAGATTCATTTGCATCAAGGGCACAAATGAGGGATAAAACCGAACTAAAAAATTATTTAGCCTTGAACTGCCACTTATTATGATTTGGCTCAACTCTACAACTCTCCATTCAGATTCACAAGCATATAGAAACTAAGAACTCAGTCCAGTTGGCCTGTTTTGAAATAGATCAGACTTGGCATCAGAAATCAGTCAAACCAAAACGTACCTATTGGACGTGACTTTATGAGGGTAATGTCTATTCTTAGGGAACAGCACTGTTCTGGCAGGCACATTTTAACTCTGACTTGGCTCGAAGTTAGTTCAGCCATTAATATTACAGCTTCTGCCTCCTGGCTGTCAAGAGAAATGAAACTGAGAGAAGACACAACACTAATGGAGAGGTCACTATTTGATGCCCTGTAACCTATCTCTGTCTGGCCTTGGATCAAATCCATAAGCAGCACAATCTAGTCTGGGATACACACCTAAAGTCATTTCTATAGCTCATCCAGTAAGAGGGGAAGGTTGTTTAGTTTCACCCCTGACTGATGTTGCAATGATGTTGCTCACGTCGCGTAACTACATCCATTTAAATGGCTCTGTCAGTGCAATTTTCTGATGTCGCTCCAAGCTGAACTGGTCTTGTTCGTTTGCCTACAAGAAAATCCCCATCCAAAACAAGCACTGTGTGTAATCACATAATTTTGGCTTATAAAAGAGCATTTTTTTATCGAACTCCAGAAAGTGGTTGCCATAGGCAGAAATTATGATTTTCCTTTTCAGTAAGTTTCTTCTGCTGCAGTGTTGAAACACTTTATACTTTGGATTTTTTTTTTCTCTGCCAAGTTAATGAAACACGAGGAAATGAACATAACTATAACGCTTGAGCACTGCTGTTCTCTCCCATTATCCTTCCAACAATAATTGCTCTACAGCTCATTACAAAGTCTGCAGTTGTTCCTATCATTTCTTAATTTGTATTACTCTCTGAATCATGCACACTGCATACACATTCTAACCGTCTAATAAATGCAATATTTTTAAAATATATTTAAGACTATTAGAACTGCATATAAATATGTTTAGGACTGATTTAATTACAGTAAATTGCTACTGGTTCTAAAGTGTGTGGATGAAATAATAAACAAAGGATAATTTATATGTTATAATTACATATAATTACATAGTCAATATTTTTTTTATTTTTTTCTCCAAAAAGCCGACGGTTGCTTGCTAATTGCCTTGGTAACTCAATCTTTCTAAATAAAATATTGCTGAATCAATATCTGCAACATGCATACAGGTTGATTTTTATTAAAGGGTGACTAAGAAGAATGTATTTGGCATTTAGCTTATCATGAACTCCACAAGTTTGTTAAAATGATATGTTCCCCAGCATGATTTGAGAATGTTAGCATCTTGTGCTTCAATGGAAGTAAGACCATGCAACCTTTTGTACAAAGCAGTTAATACACTTGTGCACAAATATAGCCTATACACAAATGTATTTGATAGTAACCTAAAATTGTGCAGAAACATAAATAATGTGGATTCCAAAATCCTAAAACTTTGTTTATTTTTTTATGTAGCCTGTAAACAGGATTTTAATTCCAGCATTTGTAATGTCTTCTTTGTTGATATGATTAAGCTGAAATGTGTACATTCTGACTTCAACAAACAGTTCCACGTGAAGTTCAAGCTGACTTTATCACTTCATGCACATCTGTAGGCTATCTATAGCTCGAGACAAAAACGTGAAATGTCTTACCTGCGCGGCCATAAATGACAGATCCATGATGATTTGTTTATCAGAACAATTTCCAGCATTTGTAATGTCTTCTCTATAGTTTTGTCGTCTATATATCTAAATTAGTTTTGTTGATATTATTAAGCTGAAATTTGTACATTCTGACTTCCACGTGAAGTTCAAGCTGACTTTATCACTTCATGCACATCTGTAGGCTATCTATAGCTCGAGACAAAAACGTGAAATGTCTTACCTGCGCGGCCATAAATGACAGATCCATGATGATTTGTTTATCAGAACAATAACTAAAGCTTCAGGAAGGTCAGGTAAGCTAGCTTTTCTTGTCGTCTCTGTCCACCGGGGTAACCTATTTACATCCAAATGACATCGTCGAGTTCAGCTCCAGCCTCCAGATACATGAATCCTCAACATCTGATGTGCGTCTGCGATCATTTCAGAGACGGATCAACAGCGAGACGAGGATGAGACAGACCAGAGGAGAGGAAACAAGAGGAGAGAGAGAGAGAGAGGGAGCGAGCGAGTGCTTGTCTTATTCATATTCGTTTATTTTTGTGACGTCTCGAAATGATTAGACAAGCTTTTGTAGATGCGCCACATTTATGAGCTCGAAATATTTAGTAAAAAATCGCTCTTTTAAAGTCAGCTATGTCCGATTTATCGACACCAAAAATATGACCATGTTTATTTCTACAGCCATAAATAGTAGCAAACCAAAAAAAAAAACATGTGCATGATAATTTTATTTAATTTATGGATTTGCCGGAGATTTATAAATTCAAAATCAACGTAGACGTTGTTTTTTTTAACATATCACTGAAACACAATAGCCTATCTAACATTAAGTAGCTAAACAAAACAGCTAACATATTAATATGATTATAATTTGAGATAAAGGAAAACACTTGGAGAAGGTTAAACGTATAAGTCCATGATGGAGTGCTCAGGAACGAGACTTGAATAATATGAAGCCAAATGCAGTAAAACCTTTTATAATTAATTAGGGAGTCAGAATGTGACAAATATTTAATGATTCCGGATCCATTATGTTATGAACAATAGGCTGCCATGAAATAAAATGTTCTCTTTTGCTCTTTTGCTCACTCTGGATGAGTACAGTTCATGGAGAGTAGGGAGGGTTGTACCCAGGGCCGTTTCTAGCCGATTTGACTATATATATATAATTCTTTTCAGACACTAGTTGCTTGTCACATTCAAATTGGTTGTCATAGTAACGACACTAATTTGTGGAGATTCAGTGCATTGAGTTCCACAAATCTGAATTAATTATTTGTAAATTGACTGTTAAGATAAACATTTTGCACAATTTAGAATCTGTAATATCACTGTGTTGCTACTAGATGCCTGTATAGCCCTATGTAACAATCCCTAGTGGCTAAGACATTGCACATAATTTACACATAAATTAATTTTATTACATTTTGATTTGGATACTATATACTATACTACTACATATTGTTTAGAGATTATCAATGGCTACTTTTTTGTCTTTATCTGTTTTTTGTTAAAATGTTTTGTTGTTGTTTCTTGAAACATTGATTTAAAGTGTCAGTTATTGCATTATTATTTCAGTCAAACCTATAAAACCCCTTTGTTACCCCAAACTACATATAAAAGCTTTATCAGTGGCATAAAAGTAACCAATGCGGCTACTTAATCATTTGCTACTCGTTAACGTGTTAACGTTCCCTTTAAATAACGTGCCGCTCTGCCCTCTATGACGCTGCTCCCATTAAGTGCTGTTGGAAGGTAATGAATTGATTCAGCATTTCGACACCTCCGTAAGGATGCATTTAACTCGACAAAGCGGTCTAATAAAGGATGTATTGATCTCGTGAATTAGCTAATTTTACTATACAAATATTTTTAAATTGGATGTTAAAGTTTATATGGGAATATTACATGACACGCTGATCCTTTAACAATGCATTGGCGC